ATGAAATTGGTTTTATTGGTGATCAGGACCAAGTTCATGTTCCACGGAATTGAAGAATGAACACCATGAGTAGACGAATAGACGAGGCAAAGAAGCATAGAAATATTTATTTATTTAAGAAAGTGATAGAGGACAGACTTCTCCCAAGAGGAGGGTTCCTTCCAGCTGAAATGCCCATGGGGGGTTGGGGAGGTGACTTGCCTTTTTTATATAGCAAGCACTTCTTTCATTATTCATTGTATTTCCTCTTTTCTGTATATACACACCTAAAAGCAAGAACACAAGTTGTTGTTGTTGTTTTTTAATAACTTAAGCAACTCTTTGTTCTTTCCTTGAAAAACATTCATCACCCCTCCACCCTCATTATTTTTACCCATATTGACTGCTTGACTTCATGTCAGTTATTAGCTAATTTTCTCAATACCAGACCCTTGTCACTCTTACCTATAGTGGGAAAATGAGAATACAAGAATAATTCTATAAAATGGGCCCACTGTGCTGACTCCCCCACATGCTTTCTTTGCCTCAAAGCAATTTACCTGCAGCCCTGCCTGGCCTAAGAGGACAGGATGTGTTGCATTCCTTAAGAGGAACCAAAGTTACTTTGAAGGGAGAGACATTTGTGACCCTTTTCACAGACCAGATTCTGGAAGATAAGGATAATTCCTCCAAACCACAAAACCTGTAAAAATGATTAAGAATCTGGTTAACAGTTGCTCAGCATGGGCCAAGGGAATCCAGCATTGTCATGGCACTAGGTACTTGAAATTCTGATGTCACCCTGCTGTCAATTCAAAGGTCAAGAGGTAAACCTGGGTGGAGCTCTCTGGAAAATTCCCTGAGACCCTAAATAAAACTGGAATGCAAAGGAGGCATATTGTCTCCCTCCTTTCTGAGAGGACCAACTCTCTCCTTTGAGTGTCTCCTTTCCCTTCAATAAATTCATCCTTGTTATTCTGAGGGACATGTCTGAAATCTTTCTGACTTGATCAGCAAAAGGCTTGAAAAGGGGGTATTTGTGCTGTCTCAGTTTCGTAGAAGACCCCAGCTCTGTAATAGGCCCCTCTCCCAATCTAGACATTTCAGGGGTATGAATTTTGTTAGGATAATCACTTCCCATGAGTCAGATGAGGCTTATCAAGGCCTACTTCCTGCCAGCAGTTTTACCTAAAGAAGCCATGCAGTTTAGCAGGGGAGAAAAAAGTTCTTAGCACATTTACCTACC